TACAACTTCCAAACAATTGAATCACTTTCACACACACTGGCATACCGATAACCTTATAACTATGTTAGAAGAATTAAGTATAACGATAGATTTATTGAAGTAAGGATAGTATAAGATATAGCACGCCACTGCACTACCTAATCCGATGGTTAAGACCTGCTTGTGTTCCTACTGCTCCTATCAAAACCTAGGATGATGAGAAGCATCCTAGATACTTGACATTGGAGTATCCAACCCCAAGTGACGAATAAGTAGGAAGATTTAGAGAAGAAAGGAGACAAGGAATGATAGAAAGGCATCTAACCCTCGTGTCACTCGAACAGATCACAGATCTCGTATATGTCTAATTTAAAAGAAGAGTTATTCATTACCGATTAACATCAAAAGACAGGTTTCGTATGTTAATTAGGAATTACACATCCTAGTTAAGCCACTGATAATATAATAAAAAAAATTACGGACCGGTTATTAATGTCACAAGGACATCATCTTACCATCCACCACCACCACCACCACATAGTTCCCATCTGCTGCCACCGCTGCTGCTGTTCTCGCCGCCCAAGAAGATCCTACCTGTGAACTCACAAATCCTTTGTATTTAATAACCGTATAACATGTTGTTTTACAAATAGCGCCATCGTTGGCACTGCTCTTATAAGTAAGGAGACCTATCGGTCTCAAGTTGACAGTTGTCAAGATAGTAGTCAATAAAGAGTTAAAATAGTTCAGGTTTAGGTTAGTTATAGTCAGATATTTAGTGACAGTACTTTCGTGGTTTTTCATAATTTCGACATAAATGACGGTTGCCTACAAATAGGGAGAGCCTGAGTTTTTTGATGGTGTCTTCGTATTTTGGGATAGGATGGCACTCGAGCAGACGGATCACTCGACGGTACGCAATCATCGTCGCCCATGGACACCAGAGGTGTTATAAGTATATTGCCAACCTTAGGGTGGTGTGGGGGTGGGTTGGGCCTCCGGTAGCCTCACTCAGGTAGCGAAATAAATAAAATGTTGATTTACGCCAGTCTTTTGTGAGGCCGATGGAATCAATCCGTCGACCCGTCCCGAGGCTCTCCCAAGAAAGATATTTTGATGAAAAGATCAATGAGAATTCGGTTAACTAGATCTGCGAAATAATCGAGTGAAAAATTTGAGGTCGATGTTAATTGGGTAGGAGAGGAATGGGGAAAGTTGAAAACACCTTAGTAACCTATTAAAACCGCACACAAGTTAACATTATGAGGTAATAACCGCATTACTTAAAATTTACTTTTTATACAAATAAGGCTAGTTGGAGATTAAGTCACCGCTAGCGCAACAAATAAGCCATCATTAGATTACAAGTCCTTAAATAACGGACACAGCGCTGTAAGGCCCGCTCCGTGGCGAGTTGTTAAGGGACGAGTTGCTTCGTCCAGTGTAAATAGTCCAGTACGTGGCGGGACCGACCTCGCTGTGAGGTTATGTACCTACAGGTGTATGTGTGGCTTCTATTTGTCGCGGTCACAGCAACCGAGTACGTCTAAGTACGCAAGTGATGCCTGGTTCCTATGTGGCGTACCTATAGCACTACGCAAATGATGCCTGTATCGTATCTCCGTTGAAATAAAATAGTAAATGAACGATACAATAAAAACTGAAGTAATCACTTGCGAATATTATTCGGAAGTCCTTAAATAACGAACACAGCACACTAAGTCCCGTACCGTGATTTGTTCTTAGATGACGTTATACTACGTTTCGCGGCCAGTACGTAACGGGACAGAATTTGCTGTGAGGTTACGTCTTGTTTTTAAAGATCTTATAATTTTTCGCGTGATTTTAAACTAAAAGAAGAGAAATTATTGGAATTAAGAGAGTAAATTACCGCTAGCACAACAAATAGGCCATATAGATTACAAGTCCTTAAATAACGGACACAGCGCTGTAAGGCCCGCTCCGTGGCGAGTTGTTAAGGGACGAGTTGCTTCGTCCAGTGTAAATAGTCCAGTACGTGGCGGGACCGACCTCGCTGTGAGGTTATGTTCTTACAGGTGTATGTGTGGCTTCTATTTGTCGCGGTCACAGCAATCAGGTTCGTCCATAGCACTACGCAAATGATGCCTAGTACCTAAGTCACCTAGTAACAATTTCGTGTTCACACTACGATGTGTGATTAATGAATTATTTAATTTAGCTCATCGTAAAAGCTTGTGTGGTTTTAATAAAGGAATTCTATCGGAGTTTTGTCGATTAGAAATGCTCAAATAATGTTAAGTCTAGAAATAATCGAGGTCAAATTACGTTCACGAGAAGATTTTATTAGAAGACAATTATGATGAAGAAGAATTTATGAAAGAGTTTTTGATTCGTGGGTATAGACGCCTAAAGTAGAATAGATTTAAATTATAAATAGTTTGAAATCTGTCACATGGAAATGATACCGCCTATAGATGTTATCAATTTTCGACCAAACAACAGTACCCCAAACAGTACTGAACAACGCTCACGCGATTCCGAAGTGACAGTTCAGAAAAACTAGAATAGAAAGATAGACAAGTGAATCCCGCCCACCTGATCCGAAGTTACCGCTCGAAAACTATCGACTATCCTTCGGAAGTCCTATAAGATAACTGACACAGTGCCCTCTATTGAGCGCTCCGATTACAGTTTACTTTAAGGTACAACGTCAAGTCAGTCAGTCGTATCGTGCAGTGTGAACAACGGTTCAGTGAAATTTATCACTAGAAATATACGCCTTTTCATTTTTTGTTATATTTGGCGATATTTCGTCGCAACTACCGTTCATATGACAAAAGTCGCAAACTGCAACTTTCGAACATTAGAACCACTTATCCTAATCAAAATTATAGACAACGAACCTAACGATAATCAAAAGAATGTATCTAATTCAAAAAAATAACATAGTGAAATTATATTTCAATCAATTGTGGATAGACTGGCTACCTTTGGGCTTAAAAACCTTAATCGCCTGATGTTCAAGTACTATCCCCGACACAAAGATAATCAACAACATAAGTCTTAATAACTAAAGAGAATTAATAACTAAAAATAATTATCAAATTACCTGCGACATATTTGACGACAATACACATATATTTTAGACATTAAGAGATTAATTAAAAGCAAGCAGACTGCAGAACGAGAAGAAAAGGAAATGTAAAAAGAACATTCGTTAAACATGGCAGTGTTATACGAATAGGCCGCTGGTTTAGTTGTCAATATTTAGGGGATCTGCCCGTTCCATACAAATTAACAATTTAACATGAGATACCAATCCTCCATCAATCGAGATCGTTTAACAATTTTGAAATTTCATTGCGATCATAATGATGTTTCTTTTGCAATATTCGTTCCACCTCATCTTTTCGCTGTCAAAGCAGATAACCCTGAATGAATAATTAAAGAACAAGAACAAGCAAGCTCACATTTAAATAAATAGTCCGACTGCAATCTGCTTACTGTGCAAAGAGAAATTCACTCTACTGATTACAGTAACACCGAGAAAGTACTTATGTTGACATCGAAACTCTTAATTCACGTATCAAATAAATGGACACGCAATGGGTCCGATCAGAAACAAATAAAAATAAAAAAAATGTACATCATTCTCCTATGCAACATAACATTACAAATCGTGTGAAGATGACACGGATGAGTGAATTAATTAAGGCAATCATAAGTTGACGTTATGATAAAATAAAGATTTAAAAAAAGTTGACGTTAAAACAATTAAAAGAAGCTGTTTCCTCTTTAACCACCAGTACTCGCACTCTCAGTTTAACAAATGCGTTTTGCGTAGGTATACTCAGTATTTTTTTTTCAGAGTATGATACCAGGGTCTTAATCATATTGGGTAGCGGGTCTCAGCACTCGTATTCATTCATCTGTGAGTGCGTAGGACACATCTGGATGTTTTCACTCATAAACCATAAGAAGATAAATTAATTTTGTTATTAATTATAAGGGATATTTACGTTTTTAGGCTTAAGGATTATTTTATGAATGAATGAAATCGTGAAGTGATTGAAAATGTTGACTTGTTAAGGGAAAATGCTTACATTTGCATATCGCTACAGACACATATAAAACATTAATCTTAGAACAGTATGTGACGTGTTAATAATAAATACTGCTTAAATATTACATACGCGACGTAGTCACGTTGTAGCAAGCTGTCAGCGTAGATTAATTAGTTCGATGATAATTAAATTTGTTAAATGTTTCCATCCTTAAATTTCTTTGGTTTACACCTTATTACAAATTAGTTTTCATAACAACAGTTTTTCTTTGAAAATAATTTCAGCAAATGATACCTTGACATTTTGTCTTTTTTAGGTTACTGACAGCCTCATACATCTTAAAACTATGTACTACACACGGGATTTATATCCGGTTTACATTCAGATTAAATATATCATTGGTTAGCATAAACGGGTATTGACATGACTTAGAATTATATTTGATCACCGCTTTGTCATGAGTAACTCGAGTCCGGGATCTCTTACATTGCCTCGGACAAGAGAACCCAGAAGTCTTAGCCAGGTATAATAGCTTTGTCTCAATAATGACAAGTTGTCGTATCTATCCGGACAAGCCGAAAATGTTTGTCGTATCTGATGTTCGTTGCACATGCTCACATAAGTAAATTTTTATTTTATTTTGAATCAAACAAAAAATAAATTACCAAAGACGTATGCCGAAGAAAATACTCAAAGACATTAATGTAAAGAATATATTCCTCTGTCGAAATGACAAAAGAAAAGAAAACGTGAGATGGGGTCAGGGTCAAGTAGAGAGAAGAAGTGCCTACAGATGGGCTCAACCACATAGAGGAAATCGACTGTAAAAGTCGGAAACAGTTAAAATAAGGTACAGGGGGTGAGAAACAGTAAATGAAAAATGTGAGAAATTTATAAAACTCGAAGATAGTGAAGAATATGGCGTTATGAGGATAGGTGGTAAAAGCGGGGGGGGGGGGGATGAGTTGGGAGAAGATGTGGGGCGGGCAGGCGTGGAACTTCACCACTTCATCATCACTTAACGAACACAACACAGCAAGTTGGGGGTGTGTGTGTGTGTATGTCACGTTGATCTCCCATTTGACAACACCTGCTTATAATTGCGCCCCAACAATAGAAGGAAGATGGGGGACGGGGAGAGAGGACAAGAAGCGTGGACAGGGGACGGGGACGGGGAAAGGGGAAAGCGTGGGCGCCGGACCTCATCACTCACCGAACGAAACACAGCAACTTGAAGGTCGCTATTGTCCGCCGATTTGTGAGAGTGTGGTACTACCCCGGTCGAGCGTGCCCATACTACAGCTGAGACAAAGGAAGCCTACAGCTGTGCTCTACCACTGGGGGACGTAGACTTATAGTACTTATACAAATCTAAGGCAAAGATGAACAAAATGAGAAGAGTACGAAGTAGGGCTAGACTTGAAAAAGTCGCTTTAAAGAAGGGTTAAGCACATGGGGGTGCGAGATGATGTAGAAGGGGTAGGTGTATAGAAAATTTTAATGATGTTACGGTTACAATTACTAAATCAAATTCTCTCCAACAACTTGTAGCCGTCTTTCCTTGATGAAAGATTTAGTGAAAAAGAATGAACTTCGGCGTCGGTCATGGGTACCCATTTTCGAGCTGACACAAAGAAAACCTACAAATGTGGTTTACTATTGGAAAAGATGGTAAAGATATCGAAGACGATTAGGAATAAGGAGATAGGCAGAGGGGGGGGGGGGTTGAAGTGAATGGGATATGAATTAGGGATGGGGGAAAATGGAGAGAGATGAAGTAGTTGTGAGGAGGATTAAGTGGGTTGACGAAAAAAGAGGCGGGGGCGGGATAATTTGGACGTAGGGGAAGACGCGAGCGTGAAGGGAAGACGTGCGGGTAGGGGAGACGTGGGTGTAAAGGAAGACGTGAGGGGTTGAGGGAGACGTGCGTGCAAAGGAAGCCGCGGGTGTGGGGAAGACGTGGAGGTAGGAAAGACGTGGGTGTAGGGGAAGACGTGGGGATGGGGGAAGACGTGGGCGCCGGAACTCATCACTCACCGACCGAAACACAGCAACTTGAAGGTCGCTTATTGTCCGTCGATCTCCTGTGACAGTGTGGTACTACCCCGGTCGAGCGTGCCCATTCGAGCCAAGACAAAGAATGCCTACAGCTGTGCTCTACCACTGGAGGAAGAAGGCTTATAAAAGTCGAAGACAGTGAATATTATGGAGTTAGGAAGAAGAGTAAAGTGGTAGCAATTGCCTTAGTACTTAGTAGTATCACAGCTGGGATGACTGAAGTAATAAGATGAAAGCCTAAAACATAGATAGTCGTGATACCTTAAACTGAGTACTCCTTGTGACAATTCATTTCCAGTACTCCTACCTCAGGAGAAACAAATACGTAAAGCGTTCCATTTGATTATCATGTTTTGTCTCAATAAGTTATGTAAGACCTCACAAATAGTATCAGCATACGTATTAGCTTTTTCAAGATATGCAGTGCATCAGCGATGTAACTTAATTGTCCAGTACTCATACCTTAGGAGAAACAAATACGTAAAACGTGTCCTTTGAAAGTAATTTCCATTTATTTTTTTCAATAATGTGCTGTAAGACCTCACAAATAGTATCAGCATACGTATTCGTTTTTTCGAGATAATGCAGTCGATCATTGATGTAAGTCAATTGTCTAAAAAAGGTTGGTCACAATTCAAAGTATTCACGGTTGAAAATATTACAAGAGATTATAGTTGTCGAAACATTCTTGGATTGTCATATAAAGAGATAAGATTTTGCCAATGTAGAAACATTGGTTAAAGATAATAGAGAAAGGAAAGACGAGGGTGAAGTGTGGGCCGGGAGATGAAGCTGGTGGGGGGGAAGACGTGGATGCCGGAACTTGTCAGTCACCGAAAGAAACACAGCAACTTGAAGGTCGCCATTTCGTGTCGATCGCCACTTAAGACACCAAGATCCTACAGCTGTGATTTACCGTTAGAGGAAGAAGAATGGTGACAATCTAAGATAATTGTGAATAATGAAGAGAGAGGGGATGAATTGGGGTGGCGTCAGAGCGCATCACTTAGCGAACGAAACACAGCAAGTTGAGGGTGTGTGTTTGTGTGTGTCACGTTGATTTCCCATTTGACAACACGTGCTTATAAATGCGCCCTAGCACAAGAAGAAAGATGGGGGACGGGGAGAGAGGACAAGAAGCGTGGGAGAGGGACGGGGGACGGGGAAAGGGGAAAGCGTGGGCGCCGGACCTCATCACTCACCGAACGAAACAGCAACTTGAAGGTCACTATTGTCCGCCGATTTGTGAGAGTGTGGTACTACCCCGGTCGAGCGTGCCCATACTACAGCTGAGACAAAGGAAGCCTACAGCTGTGCTCTACCACTAGGGGACGTAGACTTACAAGTCAAAGATAGTGGACAATATGGAGTGAGAAGAGGACGGGGGGGGGGGAAGTCTAGGTGGGGTTAGTGAGATGAAGTGGGGATGAGGGAAGACGTCGAGATGGGGAAGACGTGGCCGCCAGAATTCATCACTCAGCGGACGAAACAGAGACTGGACAGATGATATTTCCCGTCGATCGCCTACCTAAGACAACGTGATCTTATAACTCTGCTTTACCACTTAGAGAAGGTGTACTTGTCAAATTCGAAGATAGTAAACAATATATAGTTAGAGGGAGGGGGGGGGGAGTGTTAGAGAGGGGATGAAATGAGGGTGGGGAAGACGAGGGTGCTAGAAATCATCACTCAGCGAAAGAAACATAGCAACTTGAACGTGATAATGTCACGTTGATTTCCCTTTACGAGCTAACGACACTGAGTGACCATAGTTGTGCTTTACCAAAAAAAAGAAGAAAGGTGGGGGATTGGGAGGAGTACGACAAGTGTGTACAGGACGGAGAATAGGAATGAAGCGAGGGTGGGGGAGACATGGGAGTGCGGGAAGACAAAGGGATAGGGGAAGACTTGGGCGCCGGAACTCATCACTCACCGAACGAAACAGCAACTTGAAGGTCACTATTGTCCGCCGATTCGTGAGAGTGTGGTACTACCCCGGTCGAGCGTGCCCATACTACAGCTGAGACAAAGGAAGCCTACAGCTGTGCTCTACCACTGGGGCAAATACACATAAAACATACAGTCGAATTGTGAATCTCCTCCTTATTTTAAGTCGGTTGTAAAGTCGAAGATAGTGAAGATTATGAAGTTAGAAGGGAGGGGGAGAAGTGGGGGAGGGAGACGTGGACTTCGAAACTCGTCACTCACCGAATGAAATACAGCAACTTGAAGGTCGCCATTTTCCGTGGATCGCCTATCTAAGATAACAAGATCCTACAGCGGTGCCATACCATTAGAAGAAGAAGAATGGTGAATATCTAAGACAATAAATTGGGAACAATGAAGTAAGAGGGGATGAATTAGGGTGGTGAAGGAAGTAGACGTCAGGACGTATCACTTAGCGAACGACACACAGCAAGTTGGGGGTGTGTGTGTGTGTATGTCACGTTGATCTCCCATTTGACAACACTTGCTTATAATTGCGTCCCAACAATAGAAGGAAGATGGGGGACGGGGGAGAGGACAAGAAGCGTGGACGAGGGACGGGGACGGGGAAAGGGGAAAGCGTGGGCGCCGGAACTCATCACTCACCGAACGAAACACAGCAACTTGAAGGTCGCTATTGTCCGCCGATTTGTGAGAGTGTGGTACTACCCCGGTCGAGCGTGCCCATACTACAGCTGAGACAGCTGTGCTCTACCACTGGAGAAAATAGACATAATAGTCGAAGACAATAGTAAAATGAAATGAGACAGGGGTATCGGTAGTTTATTAAGACACCTTTGTTATTCATTAACAGTTCCGAACTGCAAATTTAATAATTAGGGACTCGGCCCGTGTTTTAAGAAACCATCATGCCGGTGAGCCATAGTTGATAACGCATTATATTAAACAGAATCGTCGAATGTCTACGAACGCTATATATTTAGCTTTGTGTGTCCTGAACCGATGACACCAATGATGAGAAGAAAGTGTGTTGTAGATTTAGAAGGGAGGGGGGGGGGGAGGAAATGTAATAACACAAGGAGAATGTAAGATTTGTTACATTGAATCGAAGGGATCCAAGGTACGTTTTCAGGCAAAGATTTAACGAACTGAAATTTATATCAGTACACGATAGACAGGTTTATAAACCCAACCAAATGATCATCCAGCTACTTAATTCTACCCAGCGAGACTAAATAGATAATGCCACTCAGACCAGTTTGTCACTCTGTACAGCTTACGTATACGTCACTCAAGCGTGGTACAAATCAAACGATCACTTTACCTACAAAATGTTTAAACCTGTTGTATCACCTGCACGTGCCTATGTTATGACCGATTTACACTCGGATTACTTCAATGAATGATGGAAACAAATCTTTTGGCTAGTCGTTAGAGAGAATTTTACTATATCACCAGGCTTACTTGGTGATTATACTAAACTTACATTATACTAAATGACGCTGCTGCTAATCTAAGTAGTCATATCCGTGTTTCGTACAATAACAATGGGGATAAGTTTGGCCGTATTTTCAATCTGAGACTACGGCCGCGCGAGAATCGCCACGAGAGCAATTTCGGATAAGAATTTAGTCGCGCTTAATTTACTTTCCCCATCAAACGAAATTATTTTCCGAAAACATCTTCTCGACGTAATCGAAAACAATTTCTTGTCTATCCTTGAGTGTTTAAAAGCGGTGATCAAAAGTGATTACAGGTATTACAGAGTACGTCCTACATGACGATCGGTATAAATAGTACACATCATTGGAATTAAATAGTTATGACAAAGTGCGGAATACATCACGATGCATACAAATCCTACAATTCATTGGAAAAAATTGTGTTGGCCTCACCTACATCTGTAACGCTTGTACAGAGAGTATACACATACACAACACCAATATATCAAGTTACACAAAATATTAAGTCCAAAGTACAATTTGGGACCTGGGAAACACAACTGCTTTTAAACTGGTTTTCGCTGGATTACAATTTACTTTTTTCTTAATGAATGAATTTGTGTCTCCCAGGTGCGAAGGTCTTGGCCTTCTTAAAGAAACGTGCACTTATCTTGCTAAATGAGGTTAAGGTTCTGCAGCCGATGGTTGAAGCATTCGGGATGATCGTGGAACCGCGGACCGGCCAGCATGTTCTCCAGCACGTCTTCGTTGTCCTTCAGAGCTCTGTACATCGGCTGCCACGTGCCGAAGTTGAGCTCCATTAATTGCGTAGCCTTCTTGGCGATCTTCAAGGTCTCGCGGATCCAATCCTTTATGGGCATTGGCTGCCGTTCACTATAGGATAAAAACTCTTATTAGAATCTAAAATCTTGAGATAGTTGTGGTTAAACTATAACGATATACCATCTGTACTTGCATAGGCACTCTGGGGATCTAGCCAATCAAGTGTAACAAAGGGATCACACAGGAAATGAACAATAAATCAATCCAGTCGCATTGTACCACGTTCATCTATGCACTGTTACAATTGCGATGCACTTACATACGAAACATTTAAAGTGGTAGACTCTAGGATAAGTGCGTCTACAGTACACATAAAAGAAAACCGGAGTGACCACGGTTTTATGGAAACCTTGTTTGTGAAGTTACCGGACCTCTAATTAATTCACCTCCTTCCTATCTCTATTGTCAAATATCCCAATCTTTAGATCTTTCTCCAGATAGCCAGTAACGCACTTGCAATTCCTTTGGTGTTGTACAAGCGGTGCTGATTGTTTACCATCAGGTAATCCACCTACACGTTTCCCAGCCGAGCACTTAGAAAAAGCTAAGTAACAGAATGAGTACTCACTCTAATTCAGGATTGTCTAAGTATTTCATGATGCGTCCCAACATAAGATTTGCCATCTTCCTGATCTCGTTGGTTACCTGGTAACAATGGATATAAAAATATTAAAACAATTGAAGAAAGGTAAATTATATAAATATGCACCTTAATGTGTAAGCACAGAGTTCATAATAACGTACCTCAACGCTGAATGACCCGAACTGGTACTCGAAACTCTGGATGTTTTGCTTTATCAGATCTATGCTTTTCGTGTACTCTCCTGCAACATTACAAATGTATTAGGAAGTAGAATTAGACAGAACAAGTATTGATTATACGATGGCAAACGTAAATGACAACTATTTTCGAAATTCTCAGCCTTAAGACTAATACAAAACGAATCAAACATTTTATAAAGAAAACCATCATGGCTCTTATGATTTTTTTTAGTGTCGGCTGCCTCGTTGACCGAATTGTCGCAAGTGCAACTGCCGGGCAAGGGGTCTCGGGTTCGATTCCCGGGCCAGGTAAAGTATTATTGAGTTTTTTCAAAAAAACTCTCAGTAGTAGCACGGAGTCTGGAATCATGGTCGGTATATGGCAATATGCTCACTCCCTATGACATGGGACACATAACATAAATTGTAAAAAGTGCGTGTTACATTTCACAGTGGCATTGAGAGCCGTGATGTGCACAGCTGCCTAACCTTTCGGGGATAAAAGCCGTGCTGTTATGTTACGTATGAAATTGTCAGAAGTGACTGTCTTTTGAAATTCTCAGATGTAATGGAACACGAAGATCGTACCATAACTGGCAATATTACATAATGAAACAACAATTTTTGACACACATAATTTGTTCTGTGTGGGGATCCAACCTATGACATATGCGCAGCAGCCGTCAAATGATTAGGCCTTTAGATTTAACTGCTTTGGTGTCCATTTGCGACGCGGATTGCTTACCAACAAGTGATCCGTTTACTCATTGGTCCCCTATGCCATAAAAAGTAAGAGTGTTTGCGAAATGGCTCACCTATAGCAGCGTATAGCATTGCCAGGTCATCAGATGCCTTTCTCAGTATGTTATGATGGCGATACAAAACTTGCTGCATCAATCGGTAAGACCGAACCATTCGGTCGCAACGCTCCTCTTTAGTTCGAGCGCGCATGGCTATATGAACAAATATATCATTACCAAGAGAATATTATATTTATGCTGATTGATACAGAAATTAAGACTTTATGCTATATTTAAATGTGTACTTTATTTCAATATATTCTTGTAAAAATGGAGGTTTTTAGTTCGACTGTTTTTATTACATATATCTTCATGTTGTCCTCCAGATATGATTGAATTCGTTAAAATTATTATCTTTACTATAATTTCATTATAAAACTAATATGTCAAAGTGGGGAAACTTTATCTGAAATGTATTGTTAAATAAATTGAACATCATATGCACGAAGGTGTCTACAGATCTGTACAATGTTTAAATAAGTAACGCAATGAAGTATGCGTCGATGTTGTCAGATCTGTAGACCTTCCAGCTCCTGACACGACATTAAACAGAAAGGTAGATAGTGCTTCTATCTACAAAGCATAGAGCGGCGATGTCAAATGTTTAAAATGAAAAGACAAAACACTGAACTGAAATCTAAACACAGCTTCGAAATATTGGCCGTAACAAAAACAGAACGGAAATAACAAAATGATCTAAAACTAAACAAATAATATAACAACATTTTACACAATAATCAACCAAACAATGAAATGTAAGCAGGTTGTGAGATACCGGTCGTTTACCACTAAAGAAGGTAAAGGTACGAGAGAACATAGGTACAAAGTTGTTTGGTACCAGGTCTCGGCACCTCCCCCTAGTACCTGGTACCTTGGTGCGCAGTCAACAGCAGTTGCAACAGGAAAATGGGAAGACATTCACGGTTACAGCACATTGATACCGTACCTTGGTGCACATATTTGTGACTTCGGGTGAACGTGTTAATTATGTCTGGAATCTTGAGTTCCTTATGGCACCGCTTGCAGTTAACTAACGCAGAACATATAAGAGAGTAGAAATTGTATCAGACTGAAGAGATTGCTACACATGAAATATTAACACGGTGATTGCAGAGAGCCAGCGACTTGTGCTCGTACCGGTCGGCCAGCTTACTCAAAACTCATTTGCAAATGGCGGTGCCGGCACCGATGCCTACATCCAATCACACTTACTACATCTTCCTTGATTTAGAGAATTTTGCGATGTATATCGGTGCCGGTCGGTCCCTAACATGCCAATCGTGTCATCTACATACAAAATCACATCTATACAATTTGTGTCTCGTCCGCTGTTACAAATGAGCACTATCCACAGTCAACGTGTTCATGGAAATATCTATTTCAACTCCAAGATTCAATCCTGGAGTCCTGGAGTTGGATTAGAAATCTTCTACCATGAGAATGGCCTACATAGGTCAATAGAATTTTATATATATTCGATGAACTTGCACATAACAATTTTCTTCTTACGTAGAAAATTATTGGGGTCAACATGACTAGGCAGGCTAACGTTCTTTTAGTCTATGGGTCATCGCTCACCTACTTCTCTTATATGTTCCGATATGTTAAAATTATCATAAAACCTTAAAATCTAATGGATAAACAATTAATAACTGTACTAAAAGCCGTTGCCCAGTCAGGGAACAATAGATAATATGAACCAGAAAGTAACCACACCAATTGCTTCGTGACCCAGTAGATTTCCACGTTTCTAATATGTTCAAAGTGATTTTATAGGAAAATTGACTTCGTGTGCAAGTCTGGGTGCCGAGTCGGTGTAGGCTTTTCCAGGTTGACCAATTACAACGTAGTATTATATAAGTACATTAACAAACACGCCCAGCCCAGCGTTATTAGAACACGTGGCGGACCAAAACATAGCCAGTTATACAGCATAACAGTAATGTTAAACTGGGATAAAAGCTTTAAATATAAAATTGGATATTTGGGTATAAGCAATAAATATGAAAGACGGACATGGGGACTTTACTGTTTGCTGCAAGTATAAGGTCGTTCAATGCCTCGGCTGTGCCTGAGCACAGCGGACGAGAGAGACCAGGCGTGTTTCGCAGGGCGGTAATGTTTACATGTGTACAGTACCTATTGCGTGCATTGCATCAGCAGTCTCAGCAGCATTCTGGGCTCTTTGCAGCGGGAACTCATTGGGACACTGGTGGCAACACATTCTCGTCCCTTCCCATGTAACAGGACCTTTGCATGACGAGCATGCGTACGCCGAAAACAGCGACTGAGGGAGGGATAACGTGATATTCAGGGGGTCAGAATTACAACATTGAATGGAGCGGACTCTGTGACACTGCTCGACTACTATACTGTTAGTTACTGTTACCTACGAGTGACCAACAAGTAGGAACAACTAGGACTACCAGTGACTAGTCAACTTATTTTTACCACTTTAACTTCAATGGACTTTCTAAACAAAGGGTTCAAAGTTACAGTTAATACTAACTACCTAACTATTGAATGGCAATTACAATACTAGGTACTCACGACAAAGTCTTTTCTGGATTCGTCGACGCAGGCAGGGCACATGCAGTTGAAGCCGTACTGGATGCGGAGGGCTTCGCGTCTATCGTCGGTCGAGGCTCTTGCATAGTGGGGACCGTAGCAATTGAGCACTTCACCCCCAATGGGCAACTCACGAATCACTTTAACGAAGAGGTGGTTTTTGTAGAACCTGTACGTGGAATTAACATGTATAAATGCTTTGCCGTAAAAGATCTTGTGGTACAAATGCCAAATCGTAAACAATAACAAAGACTTACACATTTGTGATATTGGGCTCACAAGAGTGATTCATCATTGAAGCGCTCGGATATATCCCCGTTCCAACCCGACGCCAGGGGCTGGATGTGCACGGTACTGTGAAAGATATCACATGTCATTAGATCACACAAGTTCTCGTAATTACCTGAATTAATCGGCAATGCAGAGGAAATCATTTACTTACTTGGCATGTTTGGATTTTGACCGGTATTTAATTCCATTACCGTGTGTGCGTTGCTAATCAGTTGTCCCAAACTACGGAATATCAAGGCTGCGCACAAGAGTTTCATTTCGTTCATGGGTAGGGGATACCCAACCCTAGCCGGGAAATAATCGAAAAATTTCGTATTTTGTTCCAGATACAGTGTCAGCATGGTGGACGACTGAAAGAGAAGATCACTATAAGGAATACGCACTATAAAGTAACTAACATTAAAATGTAAAAATTGAAATAGTCTACTCACTAGGGCGTACTGAATGTTGTCAGTGTTTGCCGAAGTGCCCAGGTTGGACGAAAGGTTGAACATACGATAGAAAGACTCTGTCTCCGTCTTGTAGATGTGGATGTTGTCCACCTTACTGTACGCTGCGATTAATGCGGCAGCAGTAGTCGGCGTGCCGGCGCTCTCCGGCAGCCGAGGGAAGCCCTTATGGGCGTATTTTAACATAACCCTAAAAACAACGACAGTGTAATATCTAGAAATTATGAATTGGGATGTTTCCAACTTGTCATATTCAACCTTATTTGGGTACATTATTGTAATATTTTTATCGAGTTCCACATTATTTTTTTTGTATACCAATAAATTTATAATTACCGAAAGCAATCCATATAATCAAATCAATTATCATCGTTAATTAAATTGTAATGAAAACTTGCAATAATTTATTTTTGACTGCAGAAACATCCCAAAAGTAACACTAGTCATATTAATGACGTGTGTTGACACCAAATTACCATATCACTTCACCCACTTGTAGTCCATATAAAGTCCAAACAGGGTTAAAAAAACCTTACCTAAAGGCCAAATGAGCGATCCCTATAATAGGGAATATGTTAGCTCTTACTCCGATACATTCCCAACGGTGGTAAAAGTTTTTGCCGAGATAGTGGCAAGCTTCGTCGCAGTATACCACACGAGAGCAGTCGCTGCACCTACAAACGAGAGACGCATGAATACCTACGAAAGTCCAACGACACAATTCTATTTTGGACGTGCAATTAGTTAAACACTTACCCAATCATAGCCGAATCGCTGCTGCAACAGTAGTCGCAGTAGTAAGGATGAGGCAGGTCCTTGTCCGGCAGTTTGACGGAGGCGAAAGGCTCCTCAGCGAATATTACATCACCTCTCTTCACCGGCTCTTTCACCAGCACGTGACGCCCAAACTCTTCGTTCCGTCTGTGGACAAACTTAAAGTTCAGTACCTGTTTGGAAATTACTATTATGTTAATTCGCACAAGATTAATTTTATGGGTACTTGAAAAATGCTAAAGCTACCAAATTTTAAGGTTATGATTGACATGTAAATATATGCTAATAGATGGCATACTATTGTTTTTTCAAGTTTCCATATTGAACAAGAAATCTTTGCAGATGCAATTGTATTAAAGTTTTGCAGTCGCAAGATATCTTCGGGGATGCACGCTGGGACGATTCGATGACTGTCCGGCCCGCCGCCCCCACGGTGGCAGTGCTGACGACTAAGTGAGCACCCCACCATAAGGGAGGCAAGCCAGTGCGCTGATTAAAGATGAGTATAGTGCCTCCGATGACCTCTCACAAATGTATTTGTATATATTAGAATCTATACATCATAATTTGCAAGAGGCCATCTACCCTGTGATAACAACAGGGTTATTGTCAAAACAGTAGCATTATGCAAATTGTTTTGTTGTTTGACTTCTTGTCTTTCTGCTTCGTTCTCTTTTCTTCTTCTTCTTCTTCATGTGTATCTTGAATCCGAGGTGGAGTCCATGTCTGATCTCACTACAGAATAGAGTTGACAGGCATGGGCACCACCTAAGACCCGTGCGTCTTCTGTTCTTCAAATCTACTCATCTTAAGGTGCACAGAATTATTAAAGTAACATTATAACAGGATTTTTCCAAGTATCGTGGGTGCGATCAAAACAAAATTGAGTACATGTAACACTATTACATTTTAATTTTTGTACAATTCCACGTTTTCTTTGATAAAACTGATAATAACTATTTTCATTATATTTGTATTACTATTTTCGATTTTTCGATAATTCTGAATAACACACGGTGTCTAGGTGGTCGTATTGGTTGAAAGTGCGACATCAGAGTAGTCTCGAGTTGATTCCCAGGTCGGTTCAAGAGATTTTAGGCAACTTATCAGTTTTTAGAAAGTTTCTCAGTATTAGTACGGAATCTGAAACTGTGCTTGGAATATGGCAATAGCATACCACGCCCTACATAATACACACAAAAAGTGAGTGATACATTATGCGCTTCTCCCCTACGGTTACAGGGATAAAAGAGGCTGTTACACCAGCTTTGATTCAGCCACATTCTGAAAACCTACATACACACATATCGCAAAAAAACGAAGTATTTACGCATAATTTGCTCTGAAAACAATTAACATTAATCATGTGACATTATGTTTATAAAAAGGTCGTATGCATATGCAGAAATCAGCGGTCGGTCTTTACACACACACAATAGTTAAAAAGAAAATGACATTAAGGGCAGATGATACTTGATTACTGAACGTATTAAAAACTTAAATCTGAACATATCCTTAATCCAAACCACACCATCTTCTACTGAGATAGAGTACATTTTACCATAAACAAATTAACGATACCTATATCATTCTAGAAAAGTATCTTGTTGCATTTTTCATTACCAGAATTACTACATATTTGTTTACTTTTCCGCTTAAAATCATCAACACACACTGAACACCAAATAAGTTTAAAATAAATTAAGTATATTATGTTTACAGTCTCCACTGTGCCTTTTTCCATTTATCAAGGCAAATCTTCGCGTGACTTTAAACATTTACATTACATGTGCATATTTGTATTGTTGCTTCAAGTATACTAAACACGAAGTCTTCAAAGGCATCTAAGATTCGATGACTGTCCGGCCCGCCGCCCTTACGGTAGCAGAGCTGACGACTAAGTGAGCACTGCCACCAGAAGGGAGGCAGGCCGGTGCACGGCGCGTCGGTATGTGCCTCCGATGTCTTAATCAGAAATATTTCCGAGGCGCTTAGAAATATTCCGAAGAAGACATCAAGCATGTCGCCAGGGCATTTAAACATCAATAAAGAGAAAAAAAGATCCGAGCCGTCAGTTACCCACGACAGTCCGGATTTTCCTTTCTTCATTGATGTTTATACCTGATGAATGGTGCTATTAAACTGTGTACTTCCAGTATGTGTTTAATTTGCGTAATTCTGATAGACGTCACTGATTGTGGTGTGTGTACACCTCAGTGACCTCTACCAGAACTAAGCTTTAGTTCTTGCACGCTAAAAACATAAGTAAACGGATAAATATACAATACATGGGTACAATTTACTTTTTCCTTACATATTCATTAAAATTATGACAAAAGGGTTGAAATAACACTTTTTTATACTGGTTGGTACGAGGACAACAAATATATATATCTAAACATATAATAAAACTGTAGCAGTGTAAATTCTGTACATTGAAAATATTAAAAAAGTAATTAGTGGGGTGTTACTAGATAGGTACCGAACCAAAAAATGCGATTAAAAATTTGTTTGTCTGTATGTATTGTCACGCATCACGCAAAAACTACCGGTCCGATTATAATGAAACTTCGTATGATTATACTTTAATATTCTGAGCACAACACTGGTTACACGAAAAAACAAACTTAATTCTGCGACTGAATCCCTAGACACAGTTACTGTACCAAACGTAAATATAAGTTTGTCGAATGTTAGGTTGTCCGCAGTGGACTTTACGCTGACACTGTAGGGCCGATGGTTGAAATTAGCTTAAACCGATATTATAAATGTGAAAAGTAAATAGTAAAAAGTGGATGACTACATTGAATGTATGCAAGAAATAACTCCAAAATACAGATTTCTTTTAAAACGAAGAAGAAACTCTTTGGTTACTCTTTTAGAATACACATGAAGAGGTACAATATTTAAAAGAAAAATAACGATAAGTTAACAAGAAAATATATGAGAACAACGTAAACTAGACATCGTATCGTGACCAGAGACAACAATTTGTGAACCATGGGTACTACAGAATCGTACGGGAATCGAACCTGTATTCACAGTTATGATTAGAACGAAATGTGTGAATCGACAATTTTTTTAAATATGGAAGTTGTTTTTTTCTGAATGTGTTTCGTACCAAATTAATTTTATAGACGGGCGAAGCAACACTTCAGATCCTTTTTAAGGAGGTTTTGCCCACACTAGGAGATTCTCCAGTACCATGGGTGTGTTTACATAAACACTTAAGTACTTAAGTTTTCTCTTTGTTTAAAAAAAACAAACATACAAGTTCACATACACATGACACCCAGACCCGAAACAACCATTTGTGGATCACACAAAGTGTTGGTCCGTGCGGGAATCGAACGCGCGACACGTTGCACGGCAGCCGGTTGCTCAGCCACCGCGCCAACCATGTAGTCAAAGTTATACTCTGGCTCGATACTATAACTCATAGATTAGGTACACAGAATTGTCGCGTATTGGAATCGAACCCGCGACACGTTGCACAGCTGCCGGCATTATTTCTTACTTCCACACAATATTAAATGAGAATCTCACTTATGTAAGTGCGGAGAGCGATGCTGGCTCGACTGGAGTGAGACCACGGCCTCACAGAAAACCAACGTGAAACAAACCCCCCACACCTCAATTTCCGCAAGTCCTGAATTTCTAAGCATCCTCAAATTCCTAATCTCCAAAAGGCCGGTAACGATTTGTAACGCCGCTAGTATTTCAGGTGTCCATGGGCGGCGCCGATTGCTTACCATCAGGTGATGCGTCTGTTAATATACCGACTTATCTTACCGACCATAAAATAACGTATTTTCTTATTCTGTTCGACAATAAAATCTATGAATTTGTCCACACACACACAATTACATAGTTGCTATCAAGTACCTGAAACTTCTACTCTTACTGAATCGAAAGAAAATGTGTAAACGCAAACCGATGTTGGTTTATATTGTTCTCATATTTACAATTGTCCCTAAAGTTTAGTACAAACAAATACAGATAAATCCAGAACAAGAATCAATCTCTAATAAATAAATAATTTGCTACCTTCATACGTCTGTAAGTCAACCCCATCAAAAACGGCTGAACGAAATAAAATAAAATTAAGCATAGACATGGATTATAGTTGTTGAGAATCCTATACACGTAGCGTTTTACTTGGGAATTTTATATTGTTTTACCCAACTGCTACGAATGGAATATTATTATAACAAAGTATTACATCACACAAGACGTCAGTTAAGAAAAATATTATTAGAAATAATATTATGATAAACCATTAAACATTACCTAACGTTGTTGTATCTTCCACATATGGATAGCTCGTCTCATAGCTTAAGAATTAAAATACATCAAATCTGGAGATTTACTCCGGACTCTCCTCGAAATTAATATATGTAGAGGTACAATGCGATTAGGGTTGATTTAAAGGAGTATAATATGAGATTGATATCATAGCAGAAACACAACTTAGTATGGAATATAAGTTTGTACAAACATTGTAGGAAATTCCTTTAACAATATTAGAAAACCTAATTGTAGGTACATACGATGTTAATGTTCCAAATAAAACTGGAAGAAACATCGAATGGGTAAGACGTCGATGCGTAGAGAATTAAACAGAGAACAAATGTCAATCCTCACGTGACCTACTTACATAGTTAAGAGTTAATAAATGTCTAAATACACAAACGCCACTCAATTCTAATTCGCGATTAAGTGTGGGAGAGCCATGCTTCGGCCTCACAGAAAAACGACGTGAAACAACACCCGTGTTATGTTTTGTCGTGTGAGTGAGGTTACCGGAGGCGGGGGCGTCCGGTAACAATCCCCAAATTCCTGATCCCCAAAAGGCGCTTTACGAGTGTCTCGGGCGTCCATTGGCGGCGCCGATTGCTTACCATCAGGTGATCCGTCTGCTCGTTTATCATCTCACTGTAGAGCAAAGACCTCCGGCTTATTCCATAAAAAAATATAGTTTTGTCACTGCAAATTCTTTGTAAAATAGTACCTACTACTTAAAATTGAGTAGCCTTTCAGTATTTGGGCGTACGCTCAAGACCAATGACGATGGAAGACTTTTGTGATCTTGTTGTTCTCTATCCCATCTAGGGACAAGAGATATTAATGACCATTTTCACCAACCACGCCTAAACCATTTCCGTAACCCATAAGAGGAACTTAGCGTAAGTGAAACAAAATGTCATTAAGTATCATCTATTTTAGTTAACGGTTTCTTACAATTTAAGAGAGGTTGGTTAAAACGAGTATAAGTCAAGCTAGAAAATTATTTTCCTAGTAGACTATAAAGAGAGAGGTGGCAGTCGTTGCCTATGTAAGTTCCTGGACAGTTTGATGAAAAAATTATAACTAGTACGAAGTCTTCTAAGGCATCTTCTAAGACGGCTCGATGACTGTCCGGCCCGCCGCCCCCACGGTGGCAGTGCTGACGATTAAGTGAGCACCCCACCATGAGGGGGGCAGGTCGGTGCACGGTACAACTTGACATGCCTTCTATCACAACTTGTCGATCAAATGGACTTTTCAGAGTCTTTTTGCTGTTTTGCTGCCCTCAACGGAAATGCTTCGGAAATTGGAGAATGCAAAGGCATTATGTTCAGTACAGCATTCTTAGTCTTTATCCAAGAATAATACACCCAGCAAATTTAAGAACGAAGTATTACACGCTCCTGACGTGAAACACTTCCTTCCTAAATTTCTAGGGATTTGCTAGTTGGATGCAGGACATCACCTCCTCATTTTAGGTTCACAAACACCAACTGGTATGTTTGCAACCGAGACATACATAGTTTAGAGTCTCGTGACAACATCACCATTTGTAATGGAAAATATGTCTGTTTTATTTTTAAACTCTCTTTGTCCATTTTAAGAGTTGTGAACTGTTTGAAATTTTATCTTGTCAATATATTAATCTTCTAAAATAATCCACATATTGTATTCCGCAGTTTTCAGCGAACCTCGACACGACATCGGCTCCGAAACTTTTTTATGAACTTTCATGTTGATCAACAGCATAAAGGTTCACAAGAAAGGCTCGAAATCTGAGATGATCCTGTGATGAAATATATTTAAACTTCGTCGTTTGATGAAATGATACATCGTTTGATACAATACTTGTGTTGCATGTCGCAATGTCACTGTATTGTTTTCACATAATGTAAAACATATTTTTTTAAAAGAGTAACAATGGAGTTTCTTGCTCGCTTTTCTTCATTGAAATCTATTAGAATGAGTAATAAATTGAGCACGGACAGGCTGACAGACTATACTTTATTTGTTGACATTCCAAAAGTAGGGTTTTCTGTGTATATGTCAAATAGTTATCATTTCTGTATGACTATTATTTGAAATATTTAAGGTATAACCTAGGTGTCTTCACGGTCCGAGTGAATAGGTTTTTTAGAGACGACGTGCTCCATCATAGACCGCATTATCGCTTACCACCAGGTGAGACTGGTCAAACGTCGGCCCAAATTCAAGATTTTTAAATAAAAGAATGGTTGTTGTGATCTCTCGACATAGATAGGTGACGCGGACTTTTTGACATATTTATAAGATCTACATATTAAAATCCCAAAAATCTTTCGGAACCCTATTCTTTTCAAAAATAAAATATCGTCTATGTTAGTCGTGGAAAATGTAGCTTACGAATAGTGAAAGAATTTTTAAAATCGGTCCCGTAGTTTTTGAGTGTATTCATTACAACCAAACAAACAATGATTTTCTCTTTATAATATTAGTGTAAGTGTAGATAGTATAGAAGTGTAGATACATACTAACATATTGCCTAGTTTTGTTTAATCAACTCGAAGTTATACCGAAAATCGAAATCTTCATCATCATCATCATCATATGGGGATGACGAAAATGATGATGATGATCCCGAGTTTCGGTTGGTACGGCTGACCATAAGAACCACCATCCAACTGGATCACCTGTAGGTCTACTCTGATTCGACAAAAAACGAAGTTTCGTCCGAAACTTAGATAAAGATAAATTAAATAAATATGGTGTTTAGTTAGGTACATTGCGAGCTTAGTCATATTTTACCAGGAGGCATGCAAATATGAAGTAACAAAGTATTTAAAAATGAAATTGAAAATTCTAATTAAAATTATTTTAACGAAAATTAATATTGTGCTATTTACGTAGTAAATTGAATATTACACCAACGTCACATTAACAGAATATAGGAACAATGTCAAAAGATTATGGTTAAGAAATGTCATAATAAAATGTCCAAGATATGTAGTAATTAAAAAATTCCATTGCCCATTAAAAACTGCAACATTGTAAAATGCTTTGTCAACTAAAAGTTTCGCAATTTGTTTTTTAATAACAACATACTCAAATGTCTCCAGGATTTAAGTAATGTATTAAAGATTTTAGGTGCCATGCAACAGTCACTTTTGCTCATTAGTGTCGTCTTCGCTCTTTGAAGATATAGTTAACTATCATTTCATTTCATCGCTTACTATCAGACGAGATAGGGGTCAAACCTCGGCCCATCAAATATAAATATATATATATATATATTTGTTGACGGGTCGGTCACAAACGCCAACCATGGCGGCAAGTTATACTCCAAGGTCTTCTGTATAATTTACGTACAGCGTATGGTTGTGGTCTATGGTACTATAGCCTTTTCGGAAACCGGCTTGTTCGGGACGCTAAAAATCATCAAACCTACATGCGAGATGATTCGTGATGACCCTCAAAAACAGCTTCTAGCCATGGCTCAAAAGTGAAATGGGATTTTTGAAGATCAAAACCATCACACTTTTATTCCATGCCTTCGGCGTTACTCTTTCGAATATGACAGAGTTGAAGAGCTTCTGAAAGACTCTCAGTACCATTATGCCCGCTTTTAGAATTATATTCTAACCTCGTATAGGTTAATGTCCGGGATATCTTCGGTATAGTGTCGGGTTAGCTCTTGGGTCTGTGACTGAGTTAACAAACGGTGACCGTTGCGTATAACTGTCCCTAAAACCCTTTGATGTCCCTAAAACTTCGGCTTTCGTCAACGCTATACAACCATCCTCCGTCTTCAGCTTCGTCAGCTAGCTTTGCCCAACAGACATGTCCCTTGCGAACACTTTGGAGTTTTGATTCTGCTCCATAGATTCTTTAACCCTGATCGTGTTATTGTTGCAAATTTCAGGTCACAGGGACTTTCATATCAGTCTATTGACTATCATATCGGCGCAAGTCTGACTGAAGCATGCTCGGAGTAATAGTACGTCGTTCTGCCATGAGTTTGAGGGTGTAATCGGTAATTTTTTGCGGCCTGTCTTCTCGACGGGGTCTAAATACCGTCGAGCCGACAGTCACTTGGACAGTTTCTACGAAACCTTTGCTATTTTCGTCCACTGAGTCGCAATTGTCCAGGCATTCGAAGCGATTCGACAGCTCGATCTGAAAGTTATTGAGGCAACGATATGTGCATCTCAGCGTCGGAGTATAAACTTCATCAAATGGGATCTTTTGGAAGATCTTTTCTAACCAGATGGTGATCGCTGCCGGTTTTTACCTTATGGATCACGGAAACATCATTGACCATTTGACGTTTTTTGGTCCTGATGAAGTCGATTTAATTTCTTTTGGAATCGTCTGGGCTCATCCAGGTCCATTTCATGAGATAGCTTCTGGAAAAAGGAATTCATCGTAAAAAGGTCCTCTTTTTCCAGATATTCGGCCAGCCTCTGTCCCCTGAGATTCCGTTGCCCATATTCAAATTGCCCCACTTTCAGTTCGTTATCGCCTCGAGTTCCCAGTTTCGCGTTGAAGTACCGCACAAAACCATTGAATTAGGTTTTATTTGTATGCTTGGACCTATTAATGTCCTCATACATAACCTCTACAACCTCATCTGGATGAGTCGAGGTCAGTGTATAAACCTAGATGATCTTCAAAGAAAACCTGTTGTATAACCCTGGTCGACACACTTCTGGTGGTAACAATGTTGTTAACGAGCAACTTGTGGACGAAAAACCCGACACCACCTTGGGACAGTTGGTTGCCCTCCCGGTATTAGAGTAGGCTGCTGGATTTTAGGGTTATTGTGTCCTCGCCCTCTCATCGGACTTTTCACAACCTCATAATACTCCACTGCAACCTACTCAATTCCTTGGCCGGCGGGCGCATTTAGATCACCGACAATTTTATATGGAATGTTGCTGCCCATTCCTCGGTGTCTGGACGCAGTTTAAGGACATACCCGGGTCCAAATATCGGGGAAAATCGAATAAAAGAGATAAATCGATAAAGTTTATGTGCAGTTGCACAATTAACAAAAGAAGAATAGGTTGCTTACTGATTTGAGATTAAGAGTTTAGTTTGAATCTGTGACTAGAACAAAGATGGTGATTAAGTGTAATAACAGTAATAACGGAGTTCAAAACTTATCGTAACGTAATCAAGTACCACGCCCTTTTCGAAAAATTGTAACATGTACAAAGATGCTATTAAAATGATAAAATATTAAATACTAGGTACTTACACTAGTTCGACAGCTCCGCATGCGTTCCTGAAATCTGGATTCTCGCCGAGGTATAACTCGGGCAAATGTAGTTCGTCGGCAGGTGCGTCGTACTTCAGTTTCACTATCTTTTCTTCCAGCAACCGGTACGACTTGTCAAACTCGGCTGAGAACAATGAAAAATAATTAAAAAACTAATAAAACATAACGCTTTTTTATCCCCGAAGGGGTAGGCAGAGGTGCACACATAAGTAGCACCCACTTTTCACTATTTATGTTTTGAGTCTCATGTAATTGAGCCTATTGCCACATAGCGGGCACATTTCCAGAGTCCGTGCTACGCATGAGATTTAAAAAAAAACCAGTAATACTTTGCCCGACCCGGGAATCGAACCCGAGACCCCTTGCCCTCAGTCACACTTGCGACCACTCGGCCAACGAGGCAGTCTTAAAACAGTGTTCTGTGAAATATTTTACACATGGGGGGGGGGGGGGGGCATGCTTCAGCACGAATGGGCCAACTCAACTGGAGTTATACCACGGCCTCACAGAAAACCGGTGCCATATAACGTTTGCGGTGTGTTTTGCCGTATGAGTGAGGTGACTGATGACCCGAACTCCTGCCCACCCCCTATTCCCAAATCTCCAAAAGGCCGGCAACGCAACTTGTAACTTACAAGTCGGACATAATATTATTAGTTATTTTTGGATTTTCGAAATTGCCAGCACGAAGTCTCAAACTGCGCTTGGTATATGACACCGTACAACGATTTGTGGATCCCGAGAGGGATAACTCTGTGGGAAACTATGTAACTAGAGAATTGTATTGTAAACCTGATTGAAAAAGAGTAACCTATGGAGTTTCTTGCTCGTTCTTCTCCATAAGTTCGTTCATTTCCATCTTGGTCTAATTGGAATAAATGATTTTGACTTTGACTTTGACGGGAATCGGACCTGCGACACGTTGCGCCTCACCCATTTGCCCAGCCACTAGACCAGCGGAGCAGTCAAAGTAACGCTTGCGTCGTTTCTAGCAGAAGTTAAAGTACCGGAGGCCCAATGAATCTTGAAATCCTACAATCTCTAACCCTGAAAGGCCGGCAACGCTCTTGCAAATCCCCTGATGTCCATGGGCGACGCTGATTGCTTACCATCAGGTTCATGTGTTCGTTTGCCGCTCTATACTATAAAAATTTTTAAATATAGATAGATACCTTTAGATATGCCTCTGAGTTTGATCCTCTCGTTGTGCCTGACCGCTTGTTTCATGGCCTCAATACAGTTTTGTCTTTGGCCCATTTCTAGAAAGCACTCGGCGCGCCGCAAGTACAGCTTGTGTTGGAGATCCGGCGGGTACTGGTGGTTCAAAGCGCGCTGGACATCTCTCAAACTCTCCTGTGAGAAGAATAATATGTTAAAGTAATTAAGATTAAAATATGTAACTGATTATATCACCTTTCGGGGTAGTATTAAAAATAAAACTGAGGAATTTGTAAACCGATAATACTAAATAGTGCTTAGCCAAGCATGGGAATCGAACCCATTGGCTACTCGACTAACTAGCAAAGAATATATAAAGATGGCCTAGGAATCGAACTCAAGACCTCTTGCTCTGTAGTCACACTTGCTGCCACTCAAACAACCGGGCAAAAAAACATTTTAATATTTATGGTAAACTGATCAAATGAAATACCTTGCCCTGCCCGGGATTCGAACCCTGATCGCAGTGACCATTTGACCAACTGGCAGAAACATATAAAATTATCCCAGAAATCGATCCCGAGACGTATAGCTATGTAGTCGTACCTGTGGCCTCTCAAACATCAGGGAAAACATTTTATTATGCACTGTAAGCTGACCAAATAAAATACCTTGCCCTGCCCGGGAATCGAACCCCTTTACTTGTACTGTTAAGTGTCGTTTCGTCGCAGAGGGTAATGGCCATACAGATGTTCCGTGAATATCGCACGATCTCAGGGGAGGCGGCGAACCTCCTTGCCAGATTACCGCAGTGAGATCTGGAGGTGCTCGTATATGGTTTGTGCGCTGAGGTGACTAGACCCAGACCCCCACACTCCCTCTCGTCTCACCCGGAGGGGAGAAGGCATTGAACGACATACCCTTAAAAAAAACATAAGTAGAAATGTGTATGTACGTACTTTGTAACGTCTGAGGCGCAAGGAGGCAGCGGATCTATTAGCCAATGCCACAGAGTATAAAGGCCCATCTTTTCTAGCAAAGAGCACACTCTTAGTGTATAGCTTGTGGCTCTCTTCAAACATCTCCGCTCTGAACTTGATGTTTCCTCGCTGCCTCCAAAGCAGTGCCATCTCATCATTCTTCCTTGCTGTATCATCTTCAGACATTTGCTTGTCGTAACTCAGCTTCATCTGGTTGATCCATTCTGTGAAGATGTGCCTGTTAACAAACAAAAAAGTTATTGTTGATAAATCAAAATTTTGTAAATTAATTTTTATTAAATTCCATTTAATTTTCTATGAAAATATCATATTGTATTAGGATGCGCATGTAACTAAGTTGTCATATAAACTGTCATATTGTAATCGGTTGCGCATGCACTTACAACTGTCTAATGATGTCATATTGTTTTAGATCTATGAGGTGCATGTAACTAATCTGTCATACAAACTATTACACAATTACACTGTACCAGGATGTGCAAATGTGCATGGTACAGGATGTGACTTATGCTGTCATACATATTGTAATAGCATATGCATTTGCATAATACCTAATCTGTAATATGCACTAACATTGTCATATTGAAGCATGGTGCGCATACGCACATGTGCATGTGCATGTTCAAATGCAATGTCACATTGTCATATTGTAATAGGATATGCATATGCATATACCTAATCTGTAATATGCACTAACATTGTCATATTGAAGCATGGTGCGCATACGCACATGTGCATGTTCAAATGCAATGTCACATTGTCTTATTAAAACATGATGCGCATACGCACATGTGCATGTTCAAGTCCAATGTTACATTGTCATATTGTAATAGGATATGCATGTGCATATACCTAATCTGCCATATGCACATAGACATTGTCATATTGAAACGTGGTGCGCATACGCACATGTGCATGTTCAAATCCAATGTCACATTGTCATATTGTAATAGGATATGCATGTGTGGATACCTAATCTGTCATATGCACATTGACATTGTCATATTGAAACATGGTGAGCATACGCACAGGCGCATGTTGAAATGCAATTAACATTGTCATATTAAAACATAATGCGCATACGCACATGTGCATGTTCAAATGCAATGACACATTGTCATATTGTAATGGGATATGCATGTGCATATACCTAATCTGTCATATGCACATTGACATTGTCATATTGAAACATGGTGCGCATACGCACATGCGCATGTTGAAATGCAATGTCATATGAACTGTCATATTGTAATAGGATAGGCATGTGCACAAACCAAATGTCATATGCACATCAACATTGTCATACTGTGACATAGTGCGCATACGCAAATGCACATGTTGATACGCACTGCGTCGGTCTTATAGTATATCTATCATATCCCAATCTATCATATGAACATTAACATTGTCATAGTGTCACAAATGCGCATATGCACTTGTGCATGTTTAAATGCACTATCGCACTGTCATACTATAACAATAATTTTAGGTATATGCCTTAACTGTCATGCAATAATAGGAAATGCATGTGCATATACCGTATCTGTCATAAGAACATGGGTGTTAGTATGCAAATGCGCATGTTCAAATGCCATGCTGCAATAAGATATGCATGTGCATTTGTGCATGTGAACACAATGCCATATGGCATATAATTTTCATGCTCCAAATATGACAATTTCAATGACAAATTGTCATACTGTAATAGTGCGCATGTTATAAAAAATGTCATATTATTTTAATTTATTATATTACAATTTATTTTGTAAAGGGAATTCATCCAAGTACTTCTCCACCTTGGGTGAAAGATGAAAGAGAGAGTTTAAGACTTTCAATGACTAAAAATCACTCCGTTCCTACTTAGACAGTCGATATGCAGTGACTTTTGGCTCTATGGCTTTGTTTGATATCTCTTTGTAACCTATTTCATAGGATGTTATAGCCATAGCTGAGGAAATTTTAGTCTAAAGCTAAAAATTGTTAGATTTTTCAACGAGCCCATTTATCCCAAAAGATTTAAAAAATCCATGGTGGTAAAACCGGGATCAAAGTTTATATGTAAAAGACAAATTTAAATTTTTTGGACTTAGCAAATTTTCTACATCCCCTTATATCCCTTATAATCAGTCTGTAACATATCATTTAGTCCAAACTTGTAATGATTTTTTTACATGTCCATTAGATATGATTATCCAAAAGACATAATATTGCCAACTGCTGTTCATATGAAAATCAAGTATAGGGAACATAATATTGTTTTATATGTTATTTTATATTATGTCCCATAAGGGAGAAGATGTGAGCCCAAAGCTAGAAGTTAAGTCCAGTTGTACCTGTTTTATTTTTGGAAATTTACCACCTCAGAAATATAGTCATGACAAAATATTATATTAATAATTATTGTACCATGTAGGAAAAGAAGTTGCAGGTGAAAAGCAAGTTAAAAATTATTTTTCGCATTACGGGCAAGTCCTAAGACAGAAAATGTACAAATTTTATACAAAGTTCCCTCCTATTTTATATAAGGAACACATTAAATGTGAATGGAAGTCATCACCTGCTTTAATTAAAACAAGAGTGATGAGAATTTCAAACAGAAATTCATAATAATTTTTCAGGACTTAGGATTTGACTCTGAGCGACAAAATATTATTTTCAGAGTAGAAAATTTCCTACAAGGTGGGTCGTCCTGTAATCAGTAAGTGAAATAGCATCAATTTTATTTACTGAATAGACAGACACAAAACGATCTTTAAAAAGATCGGAGAGAATCGCTAGCTGGACCAATGAAAGAAAACGGAAAAATTTCCAAAAATGTTACTTGGTAAATTTATTATCTGAATAATTTACCAGTGACTTAGAAAAAATTGTAATCATAATCACAATTTGAAACAGTTTAGTAAGTTGAAAAACACAAGTTGGGATTCGAACCCAGGGAATAAACATACAATAAATCGCTTGCATAAAATTAGTAATAATGGAATACTTGATATCACCTTAGAAATAAATTAGCGGTGATAAATAAACATTTGCCATAGTAACTCCAGATGTCTGCACAAGCAACTGATTAATTCTTCGCAAGAGACTTACAAACAGCAGCAATTAGTTAGTCTAGATCCCAGGTGACCTGCGCGAGCTGATATCGATCGCCTCCAGAGTAATTGTGCCGACGCTAAATAATGTTAAGATGTACGCACCTTATTCCCTTATGGTTGTAGAAGTAAGTCAGGGCCTCGATAGCGCCATCGGGTCTGCGGTCTATCTTCTTTTCTTCGAAGGCGATGATACACAGAAGAACTTCCCATTGTTGCGCGGGATCTTCTGGCAAGCCATCGCGCTCCATTATAGATCAGGTCTTCACTATATTTGCGAGTCGGCAGTAGTACATTCCTGAAGACATCTTCAGTCCAGGCACTAAGTTGATAATAGACTTAGAAAAATTAGCCGCTGGGAGCTCACGGGAGCTATGGGAGCCAACGACCAGTTGGCTAGCGCGCCGAGTGATGACTGAGGCTACGAGAGCCCGGCAGCGAGGATCTGCAGTCAGCTGTACTGTTTATATCTATACACAAATATTGATTTGACGGCTGCGCGGTACGGGGCCGTTCCTTTCTACGCATAGGTTATTCGTAGTGCGCATGCTCGGCCATATCTGCAGAGGCGTGTCCACGCCGCAGAGAGGGCGCTATCCTATATGTAGAGCACAGAATATAAGCACTAGAATGTTCTACCACCCACACGCCACCCCCACATCCAACATGGCATATATATTTTTTACAATAATTTATATTGTGGTTTTTAGTAATCTTTTAAGCCTTAATTTTGACAGCTGATCTAAGTAAAAAAGCGTAGGCAGTGAATAACGAAACGTTGTGTCAAAATCAAAACATGCCATTGTGTTTTGTGGTAAATGTCAAAATAGAGTTAAGAAAGTTCAACTTGGAAAAGTCTTTGTCGCTATTTGACAGAAGAAAACGCGGCAATATTAAAAAATAATGTTACGTTTTCACATGACAATAATTATGTATTATGTAATAAAATTACAATAATTGTATAATGAACTAATTTCTCAAGCTAAAGATCACTGTAGAACTAAAAAGATAATTTTATGATGAAATAAAGCTATAGGTATCATTATGATAATTACTTTGATCTAGAATAATCCGAATTTTTAACACATATAAATAAAATAAATATGAAATAATTTTATGGTATTAAATTAAATAATACCTCCTATTAATATTCATTGCATAAAGTCACCAAAAACAAGAAGAAACCAAGTAAATTTAAGTACGTCGAATTTAGTACTGGTAAGATGACAATAGATGGCGTTAGTAACGGCTCTCACAGAAATAATTACGCTTATACATTGCTCGTTCGAAAGTTAAAAAAACTTGTAACAGTTATCATTTATCTTGAATTAATTTAATAATGTGGTTCGATGTAACTAGCTTGGTTATTATATTTAAATACCATCGCATTGTTTCTAATTTAGTTTGTGTGAGGAGCGAGGCAACTATAAATAAATTAATGGAGGAGTAAAAACAGAAAAAATCTTCCATAATTTACCAACAATAACTAAACCTCGAAACTAGAAAACAAAGAAGGTAGAGTGTAAGAGACCGTCAAAAATAAAAATTTGTAATTTTCATGTGGATTAGGTCATCATTCCTATAAGGGAACAAATTTCATCCGTAGGAGTAGGCCCTTTCTGTATGAAATCCTTTATTCTCTCTAAAGGGGTGGTGGAGGTTCCATCGTGGGGTGGAACTTTCTAGACTGGGGGCTGCAATTGCACCTCTCGGTCATTTCCTCACCCTCTGTGGCACCACCGCGACCCGCATGCGCCAACCCCCGCACTCTCCGCCCTTGCACCAAGCCTGCATCGATCTGTTCAGCTACATGTTGCACCATATTTCCTTTGTTCGAATATACCCACCGTCCCTCGACCCTATCTGTGGTCTCTTCCACCACAGCACCTATGTTTTATGTACCTACTGTTCTTATTACCATGCTTCTAGTAATATCGTCTACGGACAAGATGAGTGGGCATGTAAGTAAGGGAACATTCTTAGCGACTTTTGTGACAATTAAAGAAGACTTCGGCAAGGTATCTGCTGTTTAGTCTTTTTGAAGAATTAGTTCAGTTCTTTGCGATGCGACTTGCGACTTTTAATACAATCCCACAGATAGATAATAATACAAATGAAATGCGTAATTTGACGCCTTTGTTCTAAATACAAACAGTATGTAGTTTCAGCGAAGAAAATATTTTGTAAGTAATAAAAATATATTTTAATAGCCGCGCGATTGTCACCTCGGGATGCAGCTGAGCGGATGCAAGGCTTAAGGCGAGTATTCTGCGCCTTAAAACAGAATCGACTCACTAAGCATGAAACTTCAGACAAACCCGAGTATATCCGCAGGCTCTGAAGCGGCAGCCACGCTTGTCTATAATGGATTAAGTCACAGTGGGCTGATCACCTGCTTGCCCGACAATTTTGATTTCTGAATCCGAAACTGATGTAAACCGGACTCATTATTTACCAACGCATTTGTTTAAAAAAATGTTGCTAGGATTTTGTTCTGTGCAGGAATGGAACCCGCGGCACATTGCGCAGCAGCCAGTTGCCCAGCCACTGCGCCAACCGGGCAGTCAGTTTAGGCATGAAGTTACGGACACGAATTGCTTTTTTATATCTAATAGGCCGGGCCTTGAAGGCACCCAGGTTATAGCCTTCAGGAAACACAGATTCTGGCATAGAATTCCACTCCTAGCGCTTCGTCGTGTGAGTGGGACATCCACGATGAATCGGTGACGCTACGCCGATTGTGATGTGGTAACAAATCTTCAAAATCCTCAAGTATTTACAAGCGTCGTCCCTACTTCTAGCAGTCGCAAGCGCTTAGCAACCAGCCAATCACATACGTGTGACGTGAATTAGATACGATGATTGCTAAGACTAGAATTGAACCCATTTCCATTTCGGTACTAGTAGGTAATTACCGCTATTTTATTAATATTTTTTGTTCGAACCTCAAACAGTTTCCATTAATCATAGGGTCATAAGATAATTCCCACATAAGCATATAGTAACATCGCTAGATAATACTCCAACAAAGAAAATATAATATCAAGTACTAACAGCACGTATGGATTACACGGCTGAAGGACGAAAGAGCCCCACCCAATACGGCGCATGCGTCCCGCGGTCGTGCCACGTTACATAATCATGAACGTATATAGTTTTAAATAGAATTCTTAAAACAAATTAAATCAAATAATAAATACAACGTGAATATAATGGAAGTTAGGTGGCGTTCAGTAGTACCCTCTCATATTTGGAACAAGCACATGAGATTAGATTAGGGCATGAGAACAAGGGCATGTACCCGTGATTATCCATCCATGAACCATGTGTGGTTACCAGTAAGTTTGTATTAGAAGTAGGAACAAGGAGATTAGTACAAAATATTATTTAGGAATTTTCTAGAAGCTTTCAACTCAGAATACATACACGTGGCGACAGGAGAGAACAAAAGTCCGCGCATGCGTACTGAGGTCGCACCCCAGCGCGGCCGTAATATACTTATCTGTCGAAAAGTATATAGGTGGCGTGGGTGAGCGCTAAATGTGGAGTCAGCAAAGGAATAGATTTTCAGTTACTAAATTATTATTAATGAGTAAAACTAGGTGGAAGGATATATCGCCTTCCGTCGACGTACTAGCGTTTTGAGGTTCTGCTTTCTCTTAATAAGTATTGACTAGAACTTTGCTATTCAGTCATGACCCTAGTTTATAATTTGCAGGTATGAAGATATGATAGGTATTTAATATTGGAACAAAGAAAGTCTCATACAATCTAGCTGTACACCACGAATCGATACAGGGGTAAGAGACGAGAGCGGGCAGGGTGTCACGCCTTCAATGCCGCGCATGCGTCCCGCGGTGTGCCGCGCCCGTGCCACGATTTAATTGGAAATACAAGTCTAGGCATTAACTTAAAATATCTGCTGAAAAAAAAAATTCAAACGAAATGATCGCAATGACTTATCGTCGTAGTACCGCATGAATGTGTTGGAGGCCAGATGGCGCTGTGTACAAAATATTAATTGTACATGTTATTTCAGTTTAAAAACTATAAGCTAGATAGCAGCAGAGACCTGATAGTTACCCCAAAGTACCAAGGAGATTAAGTGTTAAAAGGATGCTTAAATGCCAAAATTCCTAAAGTAAAAATCTGTGTTTTGGAACATGGTTTAAAAGCGTTTGAGGGATTTTAAAGGTTCTCGTTTCTACCTTCCGTGCGTCAATCTGATTATACAAACCTTATCCTACTTTAGCGCCATCTCTCATAATCACAAAAAAGGTATCCCTCTTTTGACAAACTGTCAACTGAAATGTCGTCTCTACTTCTAGCAGTCGCAAGCGCTTAGCAACAAGCCAATCGCGTACGTGTGACGTGAATTAGATACGATGATTGCTAAGACTAGAATTCAACCCATTTCCATTGTGGTACTAGTGGGCAATAGGTTTACCGCTATTTTATTAATATTTTTTGTTCGAACCTCAAACAGTTTCCCTCAATCATTGGATCATAAGATAATTCCCACATAAACATATAGATAGTAGCATAATAAATAACACTCCAACAAAGAAAATATAATATAATATAAACTACTACCACGTATCGATTACACGGCTGAAGGACGAAACAGCCCCACCCAATACGGCGCATGCGTCCCGCGGCCGTGCCATGTTACATAATCATGAACGTATATAGTTTTAAATAGAATTCTTAAAACAAATTAAATCAAATAATAAATACAACGTGAATATAACGTGAATGTATTAGAAGTAGGAACAAGGAGATTAGTACAAAATATTATTTAGGAAGTTTCTAGAAGCTTTCAACTCAGAATACATACACGTGGAGACAGGAGAGAACAGAAGTCCGCGCATGCGTACTGAGGTCGCACCCCAGCGTGCCGTAATATACTTATCTGTCGAAAAGTATATAGGTGGCGTAGGTGAGCGCTAAACGTGGAGTCAGCAAAGGAATAGATTTTCAGTTACAAAATTATTACTAGTGAGTAAAACTAGGTGGAAGGATATATCGCCTTCCGTCGACGTACTGGCGTTTTGAGATTCTGCTTTCTCTTAAGAAGTATTGACTAGAACTTTGCTATTCAGTCATGACCCTAGTTTATAATTTGCAGGTATGAAGATATGATAGGTATTTAATATTGGAACAAAGAAAGTCTCATACAATCTAGGTGTACACCACGAATCGATACAGGGGTAAGAGACGGGAGCGGGCAGGGTGCCACGCCTTGGATGCC